CAGACAGTCAGTTAGTAAGATTGATTTCAGTAGTCACTTGTACTGGAAATACCGAAGACTAGAAACCGTTTTGAAAACTTTTGTCACGTAGTGATCGTCTTCTCAATAGAACATCTTTGATAATGTCTTCTGGCCAATCAGAATCAAGATAACGGCGTGGTGTTGTTGCAGGAAGTCCCGACGGAGAATACTTTTGCTGTAGTACAGGGGTGCACATAACTGGTACGCAGGTTATGTGCGTAATCTGAAATGGGTACCGTGACTTGTGTCACAAATCGCATTTGCGTACCGACGTACTTGTGAAGCTTTTCCAGAAGGCGGTTAGATCACCGGACGACAGAGTCGGTCTCCGTGTGCACAGACAGGGCTGCTGTTAACGTCGGTCTGTACAAAACTACACCAACCGGCTGCGGAGGGAGACTCCCCCCTCTTCACTGGAGAACTGCGCTAAAACAGCTGATCACAACGTTCACGCTCTGTGGTCACGAAGTACTCCACTAGCCCCCCCCCCCAATCAACACGACCCCACGGTTTGATGATTGATAGGTGCTGTCTTTCATTTTGACACACAGAACAATGTTATCATAAACATACTTATACTGTATGTAAAATGAATATATCTGCCTTCTTTCATTTATCTATCCATTCCCACAACAATATACATAAAGAAATGGCATATTTTGGACATAGTTCGAATGGTGATTAATCATGATTAATTAATTTTTAAGCTGTGATTAATCTGATTAAAAATGTTAATCGTTTGATAGCCCTAATTCTTTCATGATAAAACTTTTGGTTTTAAACCCCTGCTATCAACATTTGGGACAAACAAGGTTATTTGGTGTGTAGGGAGAGTGCTGCTGGTTGCCTTTTTTTAAAACAGCGTACCTTGCTCAGAGTCGGTGGAGATGGTGGAGCCCATGCTGTCGGTGCGGATGCGCTCCGAGGATCCGGAGACAGAAAGCTGCTCCAGGCGGCGTTTGAGGTAGCGGTGCTCTCTCTGCAGCTGCTCCTTCGTGTTTAAAGCCTTCTTGTCCAGCTCCTCCAGCTTCTGCAGGGACACATGCATGCAAAGAACCAATCAGGGTCTATTCTGGACACAACAATGTCCATCTTTCCTCTCTATTTTTACTCCTAAAACTAGTGTTTTTCTATCATCTCCTGCCAAAGAGAATATTTAACAACAATAAGGAAGTAACTGAATGACTCAAACTACAGTAAGAATGACACTTCTAAGTTTGAGTCAATGTGGGATTATATTTTGCACTCATTTGCATGTGAAAGCTTTCAGTGGTTAATGAAAGCGAAGACAAACACATATGGCCCTTTTTGATATGAGAAGACACAACGTTGACGAGAATTAGCGCAGATCGTCTGAGCAGAGAGGACATGGTAAACAGGAAATGAAGGGTTAAAAACGCGCCGCTTCTGGATTTTGCACCGACCACAGTGTTGCTGCTGGTAAACAGTGAGATCAGTACAGCGTGTCCTTAACTGTCCTTAGATGCAAGCTCATCCTCTGCAGGGCAACGATAGGATTCTAATAATATTCTGCAGGCATTAAAGTGTTTCAAGACTCTTTGTCACAGCTCCTGTTGCATCTGTGTGTGTGTGTGTGTGTGTGTGTGTGTGTGTGTGTGTGTGTGTGTGTGTGTGTGTGTGTGTGTGTGTGTGTGTGTGTGTGTGTGTGTGTGTGTGTGTGTGTGAACTGCCTGCAACAGTTAATGAACCATGCAGAAAGAGTAGGCCTTAAACATGTAATTATCTCCTTCCACATATCTAGAGATCAGCCATTATGTCCAGCGACTTGCTCTTTGTTGACTTCTTTGTTTTCCTTTAGATCTTGGGGGTATTTATTTCTGACATGCCCTTAACGGCTCTGATTAAAAGATAAGAAAACATTTCCTTTTAAAACAAGGAAGACAAAAACCACAAGCACTTTGTAATCACTCTACACTAGAGCTTCAAACTAAAAATGGTTGGATTTGGGGATTCATTGATTGTTTTTTTAGTCCAAAAATTGTAAAAAAATCGATTGATATTTCACCAGAACCCACAGACTTTCTTTAAATGCTGTTTTTATCTGAAAACAGCTCAGAAACCAAACATATTTGATTTAAAATGATAGAAAAACAGCACAAATCCTAAAATGTATCCAGATGGAGCCAGCAAATGTTTGGCATTGATGCTCGATTTGACCAAACAGTTATCAAAATTGTTGTCGGATATCTGTCGAACAAAGGCTAACTCATCAAACAGATCCAAAATGAAACAATAAGACATGTCTCGAGTATTTTTGTTTTCATACAGCTGTGTTTTATTAATACCTTGATGTGCATCTTGGCCCTTTTCAGCAAGCTCAGTGTGGTGTGTCTTGTGCTGTCTGGACCCAAAGGCACCAGCTTCTTCAACTGGTCCAAGTACAGCCGTAGTTTGGCACGTCTGCAAACACACAAGCACAGGGTGAGTCAGCGGACATCCACCAGCAGAAAAAGTGAGCAAGCACCTACACGAACACACCGACAGGAGTTTATCCACAAGTACATGAAGGGCAGAAACATATACTGATCCTCCTGAACTGTGACTGGGAAACATACTGAAGCAGAGTCTGAATACTACAGGATCTGAGTAAGTTGCTGTTGTGATTTTGGGATTGAGACATGTTTAAAGAGATGATGGGTGCAGAGTGGTGCTGGTTTCACATGTTTAAAGCTCAAAAAGGGGCCAGAAAACCTCTTTCAAATCCCTGGGAGGAATCAGTATGAGAGAGGACATTTTTGTATCATATATTACATACCATAAAGCCAGAGCTTACTAAGGTAAATCAACTTTTTACATTGTTCCTCCTCAAAAAGAGCTACCCACATGTAACACACATTCAAAAAGCCAACCACAGCCTTAGTTTCCCTGTTTTTATCTAACCTTTTAGAGTTTGGCCTCCCTGTGACTACATTATCACAAATAACATACTGGCATTGCCCAACTGCTCACTATCAGTAATCTATATGCAGAACACCTCAGTGCAACATGCTGACTTCTATATAACTACAAACTGTAGTCATGCATTACCAATCTCAGCTGCTTTTATAGTCTCTTATAAAAGTTGTGTTTGATTGATTTACCAAATGGACACGTGGTTCCACCCGAAGGCTGTGGGAGAGACCTTTAACCCGCAGTCACCGGGTGCAAAAATCATTATTGACCAAAATGACAGCCATGAGAAGTTTCTCATCTGTTCTGCTGGTTGAACTCAAGACTCAAACTTTGGCCACGGAAAACTCTGCATCGCTGCCAAAGTCCTGCAGGCCAACAACCCTGGAAGTAAGCAGCTCGCTGGATGCAGCATCGGGCGTTTTATTCAGCGATAGTGACGACAAGGCAGAGTAAGTCTCAGTGCGGACACTGGACGGTTATTGTGTATTATTTCAAAAGACTGCTTTTAATCCACAACATTTGTTATCAGTAGATTACCTTCCCTGTCTGTCCTTGGTTCATTCACATGTGTCCATAAAGGCCTTTCAATCCTCCATCAGTCATGCTAGTCCATGAACCGTCTCTTTGTTCCGAGCTAGCCTTCCCCCTTTTTCTCCTGTTACTTTGGCTAACTCTGTCTGAACGGTAAACAAACTCCAACAATACAAGGTCTCCACCGGCCATCGCTGCAACCACAATGCACCTAATCAGAGAACTCAGAGAACTCAGAGAACACACACACACACACACACACA